AATACAGTAGGGCTTCTCAAACTTTATTATGTATAAAAATGACCTGGGGCAGGGGTAGTAAGAGTAATCAGTGGTAGCATATGCTCAAGAGGTCCTGTGTAAATAAATACAATTTAAAAAATAGAAAAAAAAAGTCAGACAGTGGTTAAGCACCCCTGAGTTCAATACCCAAATAGGAGCCAGGTGTGTGCTTTGTAGTCACTGTGACTACAAATATATAATCCCAGTGACTACACACAATCCCAATGACTACAAAATATATAAATAATTTAAAAATAAATTTTTAGATAAACAAATGAATAATAAAAATAAAGAGAGGCTGCACATGGTTCTCAGTGGTACAGTGCTTGCTTAACATGTGCAAGGTCCTGAGTTTGATTCCCATTACTGAAAAAACAAACAAATAAATAAGTAAATAAATAAAAATAAAAAAAGAATTATCTGGGGAAAGAAAGGAAAAATAAAAACAACCACCGAGAAAACTTATTAAAACACAGGCCTGTAGGCCTACCCCAGAGCTCCTGATATAGATGACTGGAGACAGAGCCTGAGAATTCACGTTTCTAATAAGTTCTCATGTGATTCTGGTGATGCCAATGATTCATGTTGATAACCCCCACTTTTGATTTAGTTTTTGTTGGGGACTAAACCTAGAGGGGCTCTACCACTGAGCTACACCCCAGGCCTTTTTATTTTTTATTCTGAGACAGGATCCAAGTTCACCATGCTGGCCTCCAATTTGTGATCCTTGTGGCTCAGCTTTCCAAGTAACTGGCGTTTTAGGTATGCACTACCACACCTGATCTTTGTATTGCCTTATCCCTTATTCTAGACTAGCTTTGGACCTACCACCTAAATTGGTTCTGGATGATGATTACTTCCTCCTCCCTATATTGATTCAAACAATTAACATTTCCATGGTATAAGACACCATGAAAGACGCTGTATATACCAAAATGGAAAAAAAAAAAAAAGTCAGATATGATGCCAAAATCAGGGATTATACTGCAGGCATTCCTTTTTCCACCTCTTATTATCCTAAGCTAATACCATTTGCATTACTCATCTATACAAGATATCAGACCATTCTATCCCAAAGTGTTACAGTTTTTGCTCTCAACATACCTATTTCTCGAGCAAGAATAATACTGCTGAGGCGTATGGGTTGGGTAGATTCAGCAATAAGTACAGCTCTTTGGGAACATAAGGTGCCATTTTCATATAAAGGCTCAACAGTTACTGCGTCATGATGGGTGGAATGCCTGCCAGAACAAAATACTTCAGAGTGTAAGATACATGGGTCAAAGCTAATTTTTTTGAAGAGATTTCTATATGTCTTCCATTTTACATACTACTGGGCAAACTCAAATGACACTCTTTAAAGTAGGAACATTTTCTGGGCACAATGGCACCAGCCTATAATCCCAGGAATCAGGAAACTGAGGCAGGAGGATGGCAAGTTTGAGGCCAGCCTCAGCAATTTAGCAAGACCCTCAGCAACTTAGCAAAACCCTGTCTCAAAATAAAAAATAAAATAAAAAGGACTGGG